CCCTCTTCTTCCTCACATCGTGTCTTTAGGAAACTTTCAAAACAAAAACTGAAGACTTGGGATGTATCTTACTAGTGAAAGAATTACATATAAATAATAGTCTTGACCACCTGTGTAAACTTTGCTGGTGAATGTTATAACATATAAGTTTTATAATATGTGTTATATTGTTTCCTTTCTAATATAGGCCGTTGTGTCAGATAATGTAAGTCAATGTTGGAGAATTATAAATTTTTTTAGATTTACAGAATCTCAGTTAGCCTTCATAGCGGGGCTGAACCCGTATTACACCAAGCACTGTAGCTAATATTAGCTGGTATCTCACCGGTGTACATAAACACAGTAAAGTAATATTCTAATCACAATATATTCTAATCACAATATATACACAATAATATGTCCATCTTACTTGTGAAATGTTGTCTGTGGAGTCCTCACATCAATAATCCATCGATCCGAACAACAATATCCCTCAGTGCTGAGGCATCTTCTGCTGTTTTGATTGAGCAAAGTAGTAGGGTATACCGCTCCAAGATGGCCGCCGTATTTCCTGCGCCAGAGCAGCCAATGCGGGGTCTACTCTTATATTATGTCTATGAGAAAAACCATATGAGAAAAACAGCAACCATGGCGGACTACAATAAGGATTATGTTGATTGGACAACAACTTCAAAATCGTAAGCTGTTCTCCACTGTTAGCATCCATGTTTACTTCCGCAAACACTGAGCACGGTGTGACGTTATTGCGCCCTCTACTGCGCATGCGGGACATTTTCAGGTTGTTCGTAGTTCACATATAAGTCGCAGATTTGGAAATGTGAACGACCACGCCAAAAAATCTGATTTTACAAAAAAAAAAAGAAAAAAAAAGAAAAAGGGAATTGGGTCACTTAGGGCTGCAGTGTGAAGGTAGCCTTATTTATGTGTGCTATCTTCATCATTCAAAGCGGCGAGGCTTTAGGTTTTACTGTCATAATTACAGAAGGCAGCTGCTTGCTTTTCTCTGCTGTTATCAGAGAAACCTTTCACAACAGGAATCCATTACACCTGATTTACAACCACACTCAAAAGAATTTAATGGGATTAATTAGGAAACTAATTAGGAAAGTGTTTCTTTTTTAAACCCGAATAACAAACCTCAGGTATAATGATTATGACACTTGACTTCTACATTTCTCTGAGTAAATTAATTTGGTTTGATAATTAGCAAAATTACATGTAGATCAGATTTCTGTAATATTTGGAAAATGAAAAAATACACACAACCCTTGGGCGATGCAGTCCAGATGCATGTGAATATGTTTGAATATCATCAAAATGTTTATTTTTGATGTAATTCAGTTAAAAAAAGACTAATAATGAACAGTTTCATTGCACACATTGATACATGTCATGATTAATTCTGCAAATTTAGAAAATTATAAATACAACATTCAGTTTATCAGAGATTGTGAATATATAAAAAAAAAACATTTTTAAAATTAAACTGAAAAAGGAGGTTAATGTAGGATGCGTTGCAGGTTACATGTGTCAAACTCAAGGCCCAGGGGCCAAATCTGGCCGCCACAGCTTTTTATGTGGCCCTCTAATCTCCAGATGCCAAATGACATCAATCCAGATTTTTTGCACTAACTGGGAGTTTGTTGACCATTTTTTGCAGAAAATTAGCAAAAACATTCGGTTCAAGTGATGCTAAATTTCACCTGCAGGTGGCAGTATTTCTTACTTCTACTACAGTCTTACTTCAGATCAAATTAGTCCGTGATCAATATGGGAAGTAACAAAAATCACATTGAACGTTATACATAATTGCAAATATTGTAAAATACGTGGCCAATATTTATAGATTAGCTCCAAGGAATGTGTCATTTTGCAAAAAATCACTAAACAATCCCATTAATGTTAAAAAAAAGCACTTATTGGATGCAGAGGCAACTATTTATTCATATTTCTGACTGTTTGTAAATGGGTTTTATCAGTACATTCAAGCACAACCGGCCCTTTAAGAATATTTGTGATTTTGATATATGGCCAGAAATGAAAACTTGGCACTCCTGCAACCACCAAGAGAAACCTCCCGTCAAAAATTTAAATTTACCTTTGGTATACCTTGATGTTAATAGCTGTGTTATGCATATTTATGATATAAAATGTTGGATTGAGGACTTGTTACCGGCTCATTTTTTTATTGAAGTTTGCAACAAAGCACAAATTAAATATCAAATGTGCTGTTTTAACTCTCCACTTCTCGTCTGTTAACTGTGTTTAATACAGTTCATTTAAAGTTAGGAGAAGATATCTCCCGATGAGTTCTGCTTTGAAAATCAAATTAGCTAAAGAAATTGGAATTTTTATTTTATTTTTAAATAAGCGCATGCTAATTTTTTAAAGCTGGATGTTTTTTCTCAAGCACGGATAACGTGACGTTTCTCATAATCTTAAAAGTAGAAAGGGGAAAAAAGGATTTTGCTGGAGGAGTGTGGGTTTATTTGTGACTTTGGCCCGTGTCCATGTCTGACAGGTGTGGGATGGAGCAGAAAGTGGACGACGCCTCAGGCTTTACACCTGCCACTCGGGAGCTGTGCGTGACGCCTGCTGGACCCCCTGTGGGCGACAGCTCCTCACCGGCTCATTTGACAACACGGCTGTGATCACTGATGTGGAGACAGGTGAGTCGCACCACTTCTCGCTTTAAATGAAACAATGGTTTTATTTTCGGGTCTTCATTAGGCTTTGATAAATGTCAACAGGTATATAGCGGAAGCTATTGCTAAGGTGTTAGCTTCCGTTCAAATTATAAAGACTGCAATCCTGGAGCACTAATTTAACTTCGACGTTATAATTTATCTCAAAATGATATATAATTCCCTTAGATATTGTGTTCCTATATATTTCTTGTTATAAATAAAGTTTTTGGAACGTGAAGAGAGGAAACGGAACTGTTGTGTTGTAACCGGTCGTCAAAATAAGAGCATGAGTATAAACGTCTACTCGAATAATTCTTAATGGTCGATAACCAAAACTTCAACACAGATATTGAACTTTATTCAACTGAATGTTTGCAAAACACCCAAGTAAACTAATGCTTTAGGATTTATCTGTAGTTTAGTGGAAGCTAAGTGTGATAAATGTTTTCAAAGTTAGCAAAAGCCCTAAACAACAACGGAAAAAAATTATCAGCTATTAGCAGAAGTGGGCTCATCACTGGTAAAAAAAAAAAAAAAAAAAATATATATATATATATATATATATATATATATATATATATATATATATATATAAATAATATAATATTTATATATATATATATATATATATATATATATAAATAATATAATATTTCCTAAATACCAGATTAAGAATAAGAGAGAGTTTACTTTCTTCTAAAGTCGTATAATCCCAATTTGGAGATGCACAGATGATTTCATAAACACTTTGTAATTGCTAAAATGACAACATTTGACACACTCTCTAAAATTGTTTATAGCTGCTTGTAATACTTTAAACACAGAATATACCTTCATATGCATTTGGTACCAACATTGGTGCCAATCATCACTAAAGAAAATAAATTAATGGTGCTCTTGGAATGGCTGCTTTGCAAATGAGAACCAATAGGATGCCATAGCATTGTGACCAAGTATTTCAGCTTTCCAGCGGCACTTCACAAACTACATTATGAGGAAAAAAATTGAAATTACCATTTGAAAACTGCTTCTTTTTTTTTTTTGCGTTATCAAACAGTGAGGATCATGCTGACCAAAACAAAACAGAAAACTACAAATGAGAAACTTAGAAACTAGAGACTGCAACTCTTAATGCAACAAACTTTACTACATCATAAAATAAGTCCACCATGCCACGACACTGTCAGATTTTAACATTTTGTGTTTTGTGATTTGAAACAATTAGCTTCAGCAAAAACAGCAAAAGAAACAAAAACATGTCAGTGAACCACTTTTTCACACCAATGCGTATATTTCTCCAGTTTGTATTGACTTAACAGAAATCCTGTTTCTTGGCTGCTTTTATTAAACACTTTCCAACCGCACTGCTGGCGTTTTGGGACAACAAAGCACATTGGCAGCTGTACCTCCTGCAGTCCTTGTGTTTCTTCTCAACAGTTTGTCTTGTAATTTGCATGGGATGTGAATATCATTCTCTCAAGTTGCAGAACAGCTTCTCTCACTCTGTCTCTCAAGCCCTTGCTGAAAGAAAATCTTTGCAAATCATTTGAAGTTGGGGTATATTGTCAAATTGTAAAGGCTTTTTTAAGTGCAGTGAAAGAAATGTGGCGTACTTCTCTTAAAATGTAGCTCTGTTAAAGCTGCAGAACCGTACAACAAATCAATTGCCTCCAATTTGTGCCCTCGATTCGTTTTAAGTGCCGGTAAGTCTCTTTCGTTTAATCGTGTGGAGCTCAGCAGTAGCCACATTCACACAAAGGTCGGCACTTTCTGCATTAAGAACATGTGAGTACTCATGCATTTTACGCCTCCTTGCCCACAGTGATTTTATTTCTGTTTAATCTGTAAGAATAAAAGAATGAATGAGAACCGATGAAATGTTTTGTCCAGGAGAACATAGGAAAATCCATTCAGTTTTTACAGAAAACTGGATGATAATGTGCTACACAGAACAGAAACCACTAAGCTAAAAACAAATTACGAAGTGGATGCCACCAGTCGAACTTTGCATTCATTTCGCAATCTCATTGCTTTTGCCGCTTCTCCGTTCCGCTTCTCTTTCACGGTTACTTGTGCAACTTTACTTCGTTTCTCAGCAACAAAATGGAGCCCATCATTATTTATTGAAGATTTGAGATTTCCAAAAACAAAGGAATCTAATGTTGCGTTTCGTTTTTTACGTTTGGAAGCTCATTCCTTTTCACATAACCGGAAAAGCCGGGGAATGGCGGCGCTTTTGACATTTCCCTGAGATTCAGAAAAATATAGTTTATTTATTTTAGCATAACTCCAGTTTTACTTGGCCTCTTAGCACAATTTAAAAACGGGTGTGTAGTTTATAATGTGCACTTTAAGCACAAGTTGAAAGTGAGACTGGGGGAGGCGGAGTCTTGCTGCTACGCCGTCACATATCAGACATGTTAAAAAGACGTTATAAGCCTATGGAACCCTGTAGTTTAACGTATCGATACTCACGGATGAAAAATCGATACCTTCCAAGGGCGGAAAATATCGATACATATTGTGGAATCGATATAATTATACAGCTCTAGTGACCACCAACTGTCAAGAGCAGCGTAACAGAACTGAATACACCCGGGGAAACAACTTCTTGACCAGATAAAATAAATTCAAAGAATAAACAAATGTTGACAAACTTCACATGTATAACATTGTCAAACCAAAACCCTGTATATATTTATCAAAAGGAATGACGGCTCTGTTTCAAGCTTCAGGAGTATGTTTTATTTTCTGACCTGGAAAATGTTGACAAGCCCTACAGAGTTCTGTTCACTTGATGGTCCGGTTAATCCAGACATGTTTTTAGTGCTGACCTACCAGAACTTTCTCCACACTGTGTTTCAGACAGAATAAGAAAACAAAACTCGCTGATGCTGAGTGTCTCCAGGGGTAACGGCAAATTACTTCTGCTTTTCCACATGAAAACCAAAGTGCATTTTTAGTGTTCTACTGCTCCCTCCAAAAAATGGTTACAAACTATGCTTTTGGCCCATTTTTTAATGTGTTATACTTCTTAACATCTTTGTTCTGTTAGGAGTTCATGACCAGTATCTTACCTAAAGTAGACATTACTCTCTCACCTGTTTTCATTTTCCTTTTCCAGCTTTTTGCAAGACAAAATGGTTTCATACGAGGCAAATGTATGAAACAGACCGTCAAAACACAGACTGCAAAACAAATTTCACTTTAGTTTTGTACAAGGGTGTCCAAAGTGTGGCCCAGGGGCCATTTGTGGCTTTTGTGCTGATTTTGCGCGGCCCTCAACTGCAATACAAAAATGAAACTAATTTGGCACATAGATGCAGATGGAGACTTTTAATTTGTAATCTGGATAAAAATTGTTACCAACATAATTTTCTTACACATGAAAATGTAAAGTACAACACAAAGTATTCATGTTTTTACAACCAAGTTTTAACAAAAGGTAAAACCAGAGAAATGAAATAAAAACTAGAAGTCCTTTGGCAGTTATGTCACTAATAATATGGAAAACGTGTTGTTATAAGTGAAAATAATCTTCCAATGGAAATGCAATTTTAGGGAATTATTCACTTAAAACAAGCTACAATATCTTGCTGAAAATTTGTTTGTAACACAGTTATGTCTTATTTAAAGTGTACTCAGATATGTGCACTAGAAACCAAACTTACTTGGTAAGATTTTGTGTTTTTGCAGTGCTTTAAGCAGCATTTTATAGTTCAGTTATCAGCAGCTGAGTTTATCCTCAAATATATATATTTTTGATTGCTTGAGTTCAACCAATAAAGATAAAAGTTGAATTTAGCGAAACAGACACACATCTTATTGTGTTAACTGGAAATAAATACATATATATGATGACAAAGAATCCGGCTTAATAAGATCAGCAACATGGTTTTGCTATCTAAAATAAATAAATAGTTCACTTCTCTCCAAGTCCGTTGGATCAGTCATAGGTCAAACTTTTACAAACTGCGATTTATTTTTCAAGCTTAAAGAGAATGACCCAAACTAAAAATAAAAAATAAAGCCACCATGATAACTGCATCTTTAGGGTCAGCACATGGCTGCACTTCCTCTTTCCGAGCGTCTGTCGATTCTGTCAATAAAGCCTACGGATAATAGCTTGGCCAGCCCATTAAACACGCAGGCAGCTCCAGGAAGGGAATCAATAATGGATACATCACCACGGGGGCAGCTGCCATGACCTTACACTGGGACGTCGCTAACCACAACCGTAAACACACAAATGCTTATTTGATCGCCACTGTCAAAGCGGCTTCAAAGGAACAGCTAAAGAAATGCCACACATCCAAAAACCTCTCATGCATAATCCTATGAAAGCCTTTTTCTCTTATAACATTTTTTATTCCTCCCACTACTATTATTCATTCATATTAGAAATTAATTATAAGTCTATTGTTTCCAGGGGCGAGAATCCTGCAAGCGAGTGCTTCCTGGAAAGGGCAATAAGGCCGCGTTCCTATGGCAGCGCGAGATGAAGGGAATTCAATTTAGTTGCATATTAATGTGGGAGTTGGGAACGCAGCCCGGTTCCTTCATGGCTTCATCGCACTTTAATGTGAAAGGGCTGAAATTAAGTCGCTGACACTTTAAACTTGATTATAATCGAAAACAAGGAAAATGAGCAACATCCTTAAAATCCCTCCAAGTGTTTTAGATGCATTGTGTCTTTTTGAGTCTTTCCCTCCACAATTATTGGCATGTTTGCTAAAAACATTTAGAAAAGCTTTAAATTAAATTAAATGGTTGCTATGGAGACTGACCGTTGCTATGGTTCTCATATCAATTATTGCTGTGTATGGGCAAATTTTGTTGTAGCCATGCTTGAAGAACATTTCTAGGTTTAAAATATTAACAGGCCATTCACAATAGGCAACATATCAATTAATCATAAGATAAATTAAAACAAACTTAGTAATTTCCATCTGCATCATTTATCGTTTTTCTCTTTTCTCTCTTTTTCTACCGAAAACTGGATGACAAAAGTCTTCAGTCTGGTGTTTTGGTCTCAACTAACCCTTATTTTGAAGGGCAAATTTGTTTGCAGACTTCCTGATTCCTTTTATTTGTTGTTTCTGTTGTTTTGTTTATTTATTTTGGATATTTAAAAAGTTTTAGAATTTAAAGTTTATTGATCTTTGAGAATATGTTCTTGAATTATTATGCCATTACCATTGTATTACTTAAAAATGGTCTCAAAACAACAACATTATCATTTATTACAGTAACTACTGGGGCAATTTGCCGTCAAGAAAAATTAGTTTTTGTCACAGGCCTAAGGACTAAAGACCCAACAAGGTCTAGGGAAACTATCCATTCGTTTATCTTTAGTCGCACTGATTATTACAGCGTCTTCACAGCTCTGCCTAGAAAATCCTCCAGCTGCAGCTGATCCAGAATCCTGCTGCTGGTGTTCTCACTAAAACCAGGAAGACAAAGTGCATCACCCAGTTCTAAAGTCCTTACACTCAAAGAATAGATTTTAAAATAATTGTTAGTTTATAAATCACTGAATTACTTAAAATTATTCCGCGTTTATTTGTTACGATGCAGTTAGTCAGTGCGGACGCAGCGCTGCTCACTGCCTCATTGCCGTCATATCCCATTCAACACAGCCGGCCTAATGTCATACTACAAAACAAAAGTTCTGCAACTCACCTGAGAAACTTTAAAATATTCCTACAGACGTGAATTCCTCCAATCATAACGGTATTCCTGGTGGTGTTTACTTTTCACCTGTATCTTCCGCTTCGGCCTTACGCCACTTCTCCATTATTATTTTAGGGATGCATTCACATCAGCCCTGTTTAGTCTGCTTAATTGAACTCTAGTTTGTTTGTCTAGAAAGTCTGTTTGTTTGGGGAGGTGTGGATGCGCAATTGAACTGTAATGGGGACTGTAAAAGCAAACTCTGGTCCACCAAGTCTCAGTTCAGTTGAAGTAAACTCTGATGCGGTTTGAATGAAGTGTGAATGTAAGCGGACTGGAGACCACTTCAAAAGCGGGAAGCTGACTGCAGTGCTGGGCCTTCTGGTCATTATTTTACTCTTTGCTCTGCGGGTTAGCGGAGGTGTTGTCGGTAGCCATGGCAACAGGTCTGCATGTAGAGTAAAGTCGACACAGAGAGTGAGGAAAAGCAGGTTATAAAGGGTTTAAAGTTGTTTTTCTCCTGTTTATAGTTTATTTTCTGTTTGCTGTTGCACTCTGTAATTTTTAAACCTTTATTAAAGACAGAAACTAGACGAGTTGTCATCAACTGGGATGAAATATTTCATAAAGGATTGGAGCCATGGTTTGTTAAATTTTAACAATGTAATTTTAACAGCTGCAACTAAGTGAAATGGAATTATTGACCAATATAAAAGAGAAATTGGCTTAGTGCTTTCTTGCATCTTGACAGAAACTGAATTATTTGTAAATTTATATCCAGAGAAAATAACGTTTTACATATTTTACAAGCCAGATTTTATTGACATTGGGTAAGAAGTAAGAACGATACAGCCATTTTTGTGACAGATTCCTGCTCATCCCACATTAGAACAATCTGGTTTTGCAGACATGACTCAATGACTCACCTGCAGGAGCGTCGCTAGCGTTAGCGGCTAACAGGCAATGTCCAAACCAGTAATGTGCATCAAGGGAGAAATCCTGATACCACTCCAAATTTGTTTACAATTTGTGAAAAAGGAAGTTGTGCTCTTCTTCAGTGGTTTTTGTGTCGTTTCCTTCTGTGATTCTTGGTGCAGAATCCCCTGTGGGGAGTGGAACAGCTTTTTCAATTAGTTTGGATCATTTGACAGATTGCAGTGTGAAAGCAAACTGCAGCAACTGAAAATGTAACAAATGTTGCAACTTTGGCCCCTTAATCGAACCGAGTCTACTGGAATACGTAATCCTTTGGTATGCTAACGTTACATGTCACACATCGAGCTCATGTCCAGGCAATAAACGGCCCCGTGGACCACAGTTTGAGAATGAGTTCTTCAGCGGTTTAATGTGACTGAGGGCCTTGCAGTCACTCCATAGGTCATAAAGCCCTGTCTGCTGAACATATAAACTATCCCAAATGGGTCGCCCCCGTTAGCTTATCCGACATCCTGAGACAGCTAATTAATTTAGCCTAATTAAAACATGAGGATGCCCCATTTATTACGAAATAAACGCTCCAAACATGAGTTTCAAATCTTTGTTAGGAATCTTTGCTGCGGGTAAGCCAATTAAGCATGACGTGTGGAGCTGATGAAAGAACCTGTTAAAACTTTGGTTCAGATCCGCTCAGTCCCATTTTGGACCAAACTAGTTCACAATGAACTGAGAGACACTTGGTAGGGAGAATTTCATAATAAAGTGTTTTTTTGTATGTGTGCTGAGGGCTTACAGTGGGTCTATGTCGCTTGTTCGATGAATTAATGAAGAGCCGCTGAGCCCTGAGCAACCTTTTTAGTTCATCCTCATACTCGGGCCTCATGTTTTCTCCGAAAACTCACTTTTGGTCCCACCCTGTCACAACTAATTATACTTAAGCTCCTCTGTGCTCTTGTTTTAATTTTATATATGACATTTCTAAGTCAACATAGAAAACAGCCTCTAGCCAAAACAGGGTTTTTCTTTTACATGGTTTTCTCTCTCAAAATTATCTTCTTCATCATCTTAGACACAGATAACACCAACATCGTTTGCCTTCACTGCAAAAACACAAAATATTATCAAGCATATTTGTCTAGTTTCTAGTGCAAATATCAAATTACACTTGAAATTAGAGAAAATTAACTTAAAAGTAATTTTTCAGGAAGATATAGGAGCTTGTTTTAAGTCAGTAATTCCTTAATATTGATGAAAAAATACTTGTTCCATTGGTAGATTATTTCACTTATAACAAGGCATTTTTCCCATAATAATAATCTACCAATGGAACCGGCACTTTTTCATCAATATTAAGGAATTATTGTTTCTTTGTCTGGTGAATATTTTGGTTAAACATGTTTGTTTTTCATTCAGTGGGAGGAAAATCCAGAAATTTTACTCAAGAGAAGAAATACTTCATAAAATTACTCAAGTAAAAGTAAAAAGTAATAAAAATACTTAAAAAAAACTTACTCAAGTAAATGTAATTGATTAAAAGTAACTAGTTAGTATCCAGCTCTGGTGAGCTCCACACTCTTGATCCCAATACAGATGCACTATTCAGTAATGTTCCAGAAAACCCACTTGATATCATTTTTAGAATTACATAACACATATTTTTAATATTATACCACTATGGAAACACCAAGCTGCACTTTTTCTAAATTCACAAGTTTTAAGCACCAATTAATAAAATAAGACATTGCCAAAGATCACCGTTTTTTTTAAATCTCATATCTCGACATTTAAATCCTACCATTTCCTAACTATAAGTATATGTCAGGGTCAAACTGTTTCCACTGATTAAATCTATTATGTTACCTATTAATTTGTACAATTTAATGATTTTCAGTTGTAAAAATGGGCTTTAAATGGGAGTTTTATTGTTTGCAGGGCAGCCAACAGTGAAAGTGGACAACCAGTTTAAGGTGATGTGTGTGGTTCTTCACCCCGGCAGCCCAGACGTTTTCCTGTGTGGAGGTCACAGCTCGGTGGTGAAAGCCTGGGACTCCCGCTGCTGCAAGGTGAAACCTTCATCTCCCTTTGTCTTCGTCAGATTTAGAAAAAGTTTTCACAGCGCTTTAACTTTTCCATATTCTTATCACAAACGTACAAGCACAAACTTTTTTTTTTCATTTCAGAAGCTAGCATATTTGTTGTTGCCATCAACATTTCTTACTTTAGGAAAACAGTGTTAGATTTTCATGTAGATCAGTTTAATTTTGAAAAAAAAAGAAAAAAGAAACGTTTAATTTATTTTTAATGTGAAAATCATGCATCATTGCTGTTTGTGTTAATGTCATACGTGGTATTAATATAAATCTCCCTAAAGTGGATTGAAATTTGTGAGCATAATCTAAAACAAGCAGAGATGGACAGAGTATCCAAACATTGTACTCAAATAAGAGTAGAACTACTTCAACTTATTTTTATTCAAGTAAAAGTAAAAAAGTGTTTGGTGAAAAGTGTACTGATTAACTGATCAAATTAAGGTCATTTAGTATTTAAAAAATACATAATCAGACAAACCAAGATATAAAGTTAAGTGGGCATTTTGGTATTTTAAGGATGAAAATGGCAATAATGTATATAAGTCACAAAAATAACAAAATCAGGTAAAATAAATTTCTCCGAATCAGTTTTTTTCAATAAAAAAACTCATGAAACTTTAACAAAAACTGCAGGTGTGAGTCTGTGTCTGGTGAATTTCTGGTTAAAACATTTTTATTTTTCATCCAGTGAGTAGAAAATCCAGAAATTTTACTCCAGTAAGAGTAAAGATACTTTATACTAAAATTATTCAAGTAAAAGTAAAAAGTACAGCGTAGAAAAAAATACTCCTAAAAGCAAATGTTTTCAAAAAGTTACTCAAGTAAATGTAAGTTATAAATGTACGACATGTCATCACCCTCAGCATCGGATTCAGCCGATTAGTCATTTTTTAACAAATCGGTATCGGTCTGAAAAATAAAACTGGGCTGATATGAGCAACCGATATTTATTTCTAGTTGGGCTTTTCCATATGTGCTGAAACGATAGTGAAGTAAATATAATATCGGTAAATATAAGTTACTGACCATAACAGAAATATTAATATCGGATATTAGCCCAGATTTTCGTATCGGTGCGTTCCCAGTTGAAGTAGAGCTACTCTGTGTATAACTAACAGTTTTAATTCTCATAAATTGTTCCTGTGAAGCTGCAACCTGGCGTTTCTATTAAATCTAATGGGTTGCTTTATATGATAATCCTGCTCACTTCCTCTGAATCTACGTGTTTGCATGTAATTTCTTCCCTGAGCGACCCGACTCGGCTCCTAGCAGGGATTTTAGGTTTAACGCAGCGGAAATGCTGCTGCCAGCAGGAGTCAATATGAGCTGCAAACAGAGCGTAGCGCAGTCCTCTCTGAAAACAGGCTGGTAAAGCTGCAGAGCCGGGGGTGTGGCTCGCTTTCAGGCTTCAGCTGCTGTTCTGTGGAGTAAAACTACCCCGACGGATCAGATCCAGTCCGCCCAGAGGCCCAGCCAGTCAACCTGTAGTCTGAAGGCGGATGGACTCCGGAGGCCCTCCTGTGTTACGTCAAGGCTCTCTGACAGGAGCAAAAGAGGAGACTGGCGCAAGTGGAGTGAGAGCGGCCGCCTCCGACTGAGATCAGATCTGTCAAACCAGAATAATTAAGTATTCTTCCACAGTAAGAAAAAGGCCCCCCTGCTGTTTGTAGCTGTTTCACAAAATTTATTATATGTACGAGTATTACTTAGCTTTTCTTTTAACTGATTTGGGTCGAATTTGTGGACCTACTATGCAAAATTCACAGTTTGGATGTTTTTGTACTGCTATTTGGGTTTCTGCTGCTTCTTAAAAACATCCCAACTCTTTTAAATTTTTTCAAACACATTTTTTGGCAATAAGTTCATGTTTTTTGAGTGTTTGGAAAATGAGCCGTTTCAAAAAGTCGCTGCGCCGTTACCTAGCAACCCCAGTGGAATTCCGCCCGTTTCCTAGCAACCCAGGCTGAGTTTCAGCACTTTTGGTCGGCTGGTTTTACCGCTGTATTCAAATTGAAATTCACATTCAAGAATAATTTATTAATTCCAAAGGGAAGTTAAATGTTGTAGCTCATTAATTCAGATTCTTCTAAGAGTTATTGAAGGTTGTGATGACTTCTGGCTGGAAAACTCTTTTGTAGCGGTCTATGTTATAGTGAATCTGAAGAAGCCTCTGACTGAAGATACTCTGTTTTCTCAAGACAGTCTCATGAAGAGGATGGTCAATGTACAATGGCTGCTGGAAAATACAAAAAGTGTTTTGTTGTTAACTTTCCATCCAGAAACCACTTACTGAATTCTTATTGGTTGTGCAGGAGGCTCCACTTCTGTTTTTCGGAGATGTACGATTGTATAACTGTGCATCTATTTGACACAAACATGCCTGAACTTCCACCCAGAAGAACTGATTTCCCTTTCAAATTAGTTCTAAATATGTGTTATGCCATGCAGAAAAGTTTAAGTCACTCCAAAGTGTTTTGTTTGTGATTTTTGTCCCGGTTTCCATCACGCCTCAGCTGTCGGACAGATGGCCTCAGATTTGACGCCATCTTTGTGTGATCAACACTTTGTGCTCCGACTGAGGAAGTGTGAGGTCAACTTTGGACAACGATCCAAAGTTGATCCCTGGTTTGCAAACAGGGATCAAACTTTGCAAACAAGTCGTACTTGCCTGCATTTTCTGACCCTCCTAACTTGATATTTAATGTTTAACATGCTGCTGACCTGCAGAGTGGGAGATGAAGTGTTTCTCTGACTAATATTTGAGGAAAAACTCTGAAATAATATCCATTTCTGCTCTCAGCTCCTTTGGGAAAGTCACAAAGGAGTCACAAAGACCCAATCCTTTTTGAGGCCCTAAGCAGATTTCTATTTGGGGTCCCCTTTACCAACATGCTAACATCAAATGCCTTGTAATTCCTAAGCTAATCTATCTATACGTAACTACTATCATTAGCATCATTTGTGAAAAAGCAATCAGTGTTATTACAGCTATTGATTTCAACCTTACAGGAGTTATAAACTAAAAAAATAATAATTTACAGCACGATTACAATAGGCCTTCGCAGCGCTTAGCTGCTCGGGCCTAATTATGAATTTAGAAGAGATTAGCCATTATTTGTGCAACAGCTATACAAAACATAATGCAGAAATCAGATCATTGTTGCATCTTAACAGAACTTTAGGTTTGATATTTAGTAGATTTTAAGGAATGTTTATGTTACTCTGCAAAAATACAAAATCTTACAAAAAATTGTTAATCTAGTCCAAATATCTTAGAACACTTGAAATAAAACAAAACTATCTTTCCACTGACAAATTGTTTCACTTATAACAAGACATTTTGCCCATATTATTTAAACTTTAAATTCTAATGAACATTTAGAACATTTACCACTGGAACTGAAAGACATTTTAAATAAAGTAACTTGTTACATTTACTATAGTTTTAACCAAAAATTCACCATAAACAGACACAGACCTGCAGTTTTTGTTAAAGTTTTATAAGTTTTTAATTGAAATCAACCTACACTTTTAGTTACAGTCACGGTTTTAATATTTGTGGGTGTGTTTTCACCTGAAGGTGGTAAAAACCTACAAAGCGGCCGTCCAGCAGACCCTGGACATCCTGTTTCTTCGCGGTGGGACAGATTTCATAACGAGCTCTGACTGCGTCAGCCGGGACTCGGCCGACCGGACGCTGATCGCCTGGGATTACCGCAGCACAGCCAAGATCTCCAACCAGATCTACCACGTAAGCAGAATTAAAAATAAAATGAAATTTGGCTCCATCTGGCAGAATCTTACTGAATCTTAACAAATTGTTTGGAATGAAGGATCGATGGATTTCAGTTGTTTGTTTTTGGTGTTGAAGGAACTCTTTTTTTCCCCAACAGGAGCGATACACGTGTCCGAGCTTGGGTCTCCACCCTGTGGAGGATTCGTTTGTGGCCCAAACCAACGGGAACTACGTGGCGCTGTTCTCCTCACAGACGCCCTTCAAGATGAACAAGAGGCGACGATTCGATGGACATAAGGTCAGGAAATACCGCAGGTTGGATTCAGCAGGACAAATTCCTGCAAACGGTGACAAGTCAGCACAAAGAAATGCATGACTGTGAACAGAAAGGACAGTTATATAAGGTTAGCGACATTCTGAAAAGTGTGGCATGCTTTTATGTCAGTCCTCTTTTACTGTGATTTCACTAAATAAAATGCAGGGCCATATCAGGAAAAAATTTAATTATCAGAATAAGTTGTAATATTTTGAAAATAATCATAGTATTTCAAGAACAAAGCCATAATACTACGAGAATAAGTGATATTGTGACTTTATTCTTGAAATATCGTCTTTATTCTTGTAATTTTATGACTTTTTTCTTGTACTTGTACTTTTAATTTTATTTTTATAATTTTTATTTTAGTGTGGCCCTAATACTCCGTCCTACAAAAACAATACTTGCTAAACATTTCATATTTTTCATTGCTGAAACACAAAAGTTTAAAACAAGCAGTAACCCTGAAATATCATAGGTAGATTGGATCTATTTTGCCTTTTAAATTGTAAATATTTCCATCTTCAAACCACAGAAAAGAAGCTCAGATTTTAAAGCCAATTTAATCTGCCTCAGCTTTGTGGTATAAATAAACTGAGAACTAAGAAAACAAACTAAAAACTCAAGAAATATAAAGAAAAATAGATTTTTTTCTAACTTGCTGATTTTAAAACCAGGTTTGAATGGAGGTTTGATGCTTTACAACATGAATGTGGTTGTAGGTGGAAGGTTATGCTGTCCGCTGCGGCTTTTCCCTGGATGGAGCCATCTTGGCCTCGGGGAGCTCGACCGGTTCGGCCCACTTCTACGACTACCAAAGCACTCGTGCTTTGCACGCCATCCAGGTGCACAGCCAGCCATGCATGTGCGTTTCGCTGCATCCTGTGCTTCCTGCGACGGCGGCCACTTGTGACTGGGCAGGTGAAATCAAGATCTGGCACTGAACTGGAAAAAGATGCTCAGATTCACTCTAAAATGTGTGCAAAGACAAAAATACGACGGCATATTGGGGAAGATAGAAGGAGGAGTACATTTACGTCAAAAAACACAGAAATTTTAAGATTAATCTAAGAAATTTTCTGGAGAAAACAAGGACATTTCTGAGCTCCAACAGTTGAAAATTTGAGAGAAATATCAGATTAATATCAGAATTTTTTCAGAATGAAACTTGGAAATTTCTGAGTTTGGAAAGATGAAAATTTGCTAGAAAAATCTCAGATGTATTAGATTAAGTTTTACATTAATCAAATATATTTTCCAAAAAAAAAAAAACAAAAAAAAAACAAGGACCTTTTTGAGCTCCAAAAGTCTAAAATTTATGAGAAAAAAAACCTCAGAGATTTTGAAATAAATCTAAGAAATTATTTTGAAAACAATTAGGACATTTCTAAGTTTAAAAAGTTTAAAATCTGCTAAAAACATTGATAAAAAACAAGGATATTTCTGAGGTCCAAAAGTTTAAAAATAATTTGGCTTTATTTGGACGTATTTGACTTTTGGAATTCAAATATGTCCAAGTTTTTCTAGAAACGTTTTGAGAATCATCTGAAATTTTCAGTTTTTTGGCATGAATTTACTCCTCTTTTTATCTTTTTGTGCCCATGATGGCCCTAATTCACCATCACAGAACAACCTGCAGAAAGATTGTTGGAGTATTTAAGTCTACTGTGGATTTCTACCTCCTAAAATAATTTGTATGTTGTAAAATGGTCTAACTTAACCCCATGCATTTTCCCTGTTTTTTGTAAAATAAAAGATAAAGAGAAATGTTTTACTCATCAAATTAATTATTTTTATCTCACATACTGTTTTCACACAATAAACTACATTTAGTGATTTTTTTGGGGGGGGAAATGAACTTTGTCTTGTAATGGAAATCTACATTAAAGGACAAACCATGTGAAATAATTACCTTTTTCCAAACACTCATCTTTATTAAGTAAATAAACATACAGAAAAAATATATAACCATGCGTCAGACAAACAGACATGTTGGCGTTTAGACGACGGGCCTGCAGGTCCCAGAACTGGGCTGGAGGTCGGACAGAACAGAACCGCTTCAGTCCTATCATTCAGGGTGAAAATACTCAGTAAATATAACATCAACTAAAACTAGATAAAAATAGTCATATAGGTGTAACAGTTATTATATATATGTAATATCAGCTTTTGTACATTGTGTCAACAACAAAAATATCATCCCCTCTGTGCAGTCATTCATATTTTCCACCATCTTGTTATTTATATATCACTCTAGTTTGGAAGGATTTCTGTGTTTCATAGTCGTACAAAATCTTTAAAACATCTCTGATAGTTTGACTCAGTTCTCAGATCTCTGTGAATTAAGGAGGTAGAGGCATCCAAAATAAAATATGTCCATCACAAATCAAGGGCGAAGTTAGTGGCAACGCGTCCGTCGGCGTTGCTTACATCAATGGAGGAAGAAAACTGATGTTGCACCCTGGTCACTTTGCAAACTTTAATATGAAACTGAACAGCAAAAGAATCCAGCTCTTCTTTTTAAATAAACCATATTATATTTGTTTTACTTTTTTTGCACCTACCAACAGGACAACATGCCTATCTGTTTATGTTTATACTGCATCTGTCTTTTTTTTTTTTTCTCACAGTTTTTAGCCTAACTGGGCATGCTGGTTTAAAGCAACACAGTGACTCTACGGTTGAAGACTCAACCAGTTCTTTTTCAGTTCATCTTTTTACTGTTTGATGGGGAAAATCTGGGCGAAACTATCAGTACAGGAATCGGCCGAAACATTAATGTAGTTGCACTTTTACTTTGGCTTACAGGTGGGCAACAGTGTTGGATGTTATACCAGCACAGAAGAAATATTTCAGATAAACATGTCTTCTGTTTGAAGCAGGTTTGATCCTTGAAAAATCTGCCTTGTGTTCTTGCAGACAGGAAGAAGAAATGCAGGAAAGATGTTGTTAACATCCAGAGACAGAAGCTCAGATATACAGTATATACACAGCATATTGGAGTCTGTACAGGAAACTGTTCTGCTTGTCTAGTGAAAGAGGTTAAGGCAAAATGTCCTGGTTTAACTACTGTGCCGTACAGCCACCAAATTCAACATTTAATTTTGATATAAAAATATGAAAATCTCCAGCCGTATAAAATCAGACTCCTGCAGCTTATATTTATATTCCTACTGTGCTGTTATTTGTTTTGTTTGCAGATAACCGCAAAAATTAATGCACGCTGCATTACGGAACCATTTTATTCTCACTTTCTGGCTTCAAATCAGACTAAACTTTCCCTATTTTAGGTCTTAGCAGAATATCAAAAATCATTTATTGTTTCCTAAGTTCCAGAACTGATGTACTGCTAATGAAAAAGTTAGGTGCGCTAACTCTAAAGTGCTAATGAATGCTAAAGGTATTATCAGATGCTAATGCTAAAGTGCTAAACTCAATGTATGTTATTAGTTATAACGTGTTACAACATTTTCCACTTTAGAATTTCAATTAAATCCATGTAGGGGAAGCTAAATGTGCTAAATGCCTTCAAAGTTAGCAAAAACGCTACAGAGATAAATAAAAAATTAGCTCTGCTCTTAGCAGATTAACAGAAGCGTGCTTACCATTGTTTCAGGAAATGTAAGTAACCTTCTAAATTTGAAGAAAAATATAAGAAAAAGAGTTTTATTAATTTAGAAATCACTGGTAATTCTACAAGTTCCACAAACGCTAAAGCTGCCAACGAGGTATCTATCAGAAGGTAATGTTAAAGTGCTAAACTCAATCGGGTGTTCATAGCACATTATGTGTTGCAACAAATTAGCACTTTATAAATTCAATTAAATCCATGTAGGTAAAAGCTAAGTGAGTTAAATCTCTTCAGAGTTAGCAAACCTGCTAAAGAGCTGAACAAAAAATATTAGCTCTGCTGTTAGCAAATTAACAGAAGTGTGCTTTACGCACATCCTGGGAAACGTGAGTAAACTTCTAAATTTGAAGAAAAATTTATTGTTTTAGAAATCACTGGTATTTCTGACACAAAACAGGAACGCTTTAGCCTGATTTAATGACTTAATGTCACATTGTCAAATTTCTTGTTTCCACTGCACTTTAGTTATTTCTAATGAATCTATAAATTGTTTCACTAGTGCATTTTAACTTGATTTTTATCCTATCATAAGACAATTAATTATCTCAGTATTCAAGTTTTAAATGTAGCTTGAAGGAGGATAAATGTTTTTTTATGTATAAAAATTAAATGCCAAATAAAGCAGACTTTAAAAAAAATACTTTTTTTCTGATAATGTGCCTGTGCAAACTAATTTGGCTTTTCTTTTTGTTTAATGAAACATGCATTATTTGCATATGACAAAATAAAGATTTTTAACAGCTTACAGTCAGCACAGTGTACAACACACCATAGATCTCTTGCTAACATGAGTAAATAAGACACTCTGTAACACATGTTGTCCATTATCATCATAAAAGACATAAACTATGAAACATTAATAAATGAATGGATTGATTCTCACCCTTTAAAACAGCCTCCTCTGTTGGAAAACAACCACTGACCAATCAGATCACTGTCTCTGACACATTATGCTCACAAACGACTCTGCGTGCGTGTTGTTTGTGAGCATAATGTTCCTCAGGTAAGAAAATACTTTCTTTTTACATCAATTTTGTGTCATTTTTCATTACAAAACATCTGCTGATATCTGCAGATCACTTTCTTCTGTTTGTCCTTTTCTTCATGTCTGAGCCAAATGAAGGAGGGAGGAGAGTGTCTGAAGCTGCTGTATGCTTGTTTACGAGTATTTTAACTTCTATAAGTGCAGCTTAAAAACTCAGACCTCAAGTAGCATGACAGACGGTGTCGTTTTGAAAGCGTTACTACTGCAGTGTGAGTAGCCTCTCCCCAGCAAACATTAATTATGTGGAGAAAAGTGAGGCTTGCACACTTATAGCATGCAGATGCATGCCTCTTCACATCAAGGAAGCAGAAGTTACAATTCCTCTCTGATTTGTGCCGGTTTTAGTGTTGAACGAGAGTTTTTGATGATATTGTTGGTGATATATGGTGTTTAGCTCCTCACTGTGCTAGCAGCATACTGGTGGCCATTCCTGGAAAATAAATTATGAATAAAACTTTCTTTACAGCTGGTATATCTGGTTGCTACAGTGTATCAAGATGCACAATAGAAAACATGTTACAGACTGCATGAAGCATGCCTTGGCTAAGATACAAAAAGGACCACAGCTTAACACCTTATCGCACGAATTTGTTTGCTTTAGGGGAGACATACAGTGCAGAACAGTATGGACTCATCGTCATGCATAAACTGAAGCCTCTCTTGCGCACTCAGTTCAAGAGTGTACCGTAGAGCTGTGCCTTGGTCAAGCTGTCCTTCCTTGTCAATCCTGTGCTCCCAAATTTTTGGTACCTTGGAGAAGTTTTCTTTGGGAGCGCGGGGCCTATGCTGAGAGCGGAACTGGAACTCGGGCGAGGACGGATTGTTGGCCTCGGCACCGGGTAGTGCTGAAGACTCGAGGCCTCCAGTGAGCTGTGGTGTAAGGACTCGGCCGAACTGTCCACGCTCAGGTTTACGTAGTCCTTCTTTGCACTGTTTGCAGTTGTTGCGGCCCCACTGCTTTCCTTGTCTTTAGAGCTTCCTGAGAGGAACAGACTTCCCTCGGAGTCTTGACTGTCATTCTTGGCTCGGTACAGCACAGAGGTTTTCTCTGACTTGCGATGCTCCTTGGGTTTCGGATTGTGGCTGGGTGAAAGGGAGCCCATAGAAAAACACTGGTCAAGCACGTGGCTGTGGAAGACGTCATCTCCTTCTTGGAAGCTGCTGTAGAGAGACTCTTTGAGTTTACTGGAAGGGCCCATTGCAAACTGTCTCTCAGAGAAGCTGTACGGTGAGATCCGCCCTGCAATGTTGCGATAAGACGAGAAAGTGTGGATGTCCTCCACGCTAAGCTGTTTCCAGCGGACACTCAAGTCATCCTCAGGTACGTCATTTCGGCTATCCAAAGCTCCACCTTGAGCCTGGCCCAGTCCAGTTGTAGACCCCATGCTGTGGGATGAGGCGAGGCGAGGGGAGCTCGAGTGGTATGGTTCACTGAAGCACGAAGCTGTCCTTGTGTACGACGGTGACGTATCCTTCTGGGGACTCCTAGAGGTCACCATATGTTGAATGCTGTGCGACTTGGAGAACCCGGGAACTTCTTTGTCATATGAAGACAAGCTCTTGTGCTCATAGTCCCCACTGCCACCATCTCGCCAATCTATGTAGAGACCCTGGTGGGACGAGGATAAGGCGCTGCTGGCAGTGCGCCCACAGCCACCGCTAACTGCTCCCTTCTCATCCGATGCGAGGCTGAAGCTGGAGTACGAACTCGAGGCAGGGAAGCTGCCAGTCCCAAACTCGTCATGGTGGTGGAAAGACGTTGGGGGGTCATGGTGGGAGAAGCTGCCGGACTGGAAAGGATCGTCATCTGGGTTACTCTCTAAGGAGGTCTGGGCGTGCAGCTGAAGCAGGGCAGTACCATGGAGGTCAACGCTTTGCCTGCGCTCTGTGTCTTGCCATCGCTCAGGACAATACAAGGCCGTGTCGCTGCAGTACAGGTCCGATGTCTTGTACGAAATGCGGCGGTTCAGGTGATCGTTGCTTCCTGTTCCTATTAGAAAGTCTCCATCCTGAACATGGGAGGTTGTGGCACATGTTACAGGGGAATCTCTTCCAGGTTCAGGCTTTTCCAGGACCTTGGCAATTACGGCTGTTGGCACTTCTTCAGGGTAGTTAGGGTGACACATTGCTATGGTGGCTCCTCTACCCCGGCTATGTTTCTCCATGTAGGAGCTGATGCGTTCCTGGAAGTCCAGCGGCAGCTAAGGAAGAGAAGCCAAAGAAATTTGGGTTTAAAATTTAGATTCACATCAGTGTTTTGATATAGTTGTAACTCCTGAGATTTGTCTTCTTTTCCACAAACTTGTACATAGCTTCACTTTTTTCTTGTACTTGTTTTATTAGCTGCGTTTGTCAAAAAAAAACACAATTTTGCAATTGTGGTGTTTCCATTAAAGCTGCTGTAAGTTTTATAAAGAATGTTTTTTTTTTTTTTACATATTTGTTAAAACTGTCACCATGTTGTGACAGTTTGACTCAGATAATCTGTGAAAAGATCGATCTCCACCATCTACATGTGCTGTTATTGCCACTTAAAGAAATACACCATTCCCGACCAAAACCAACCAATCAGAACCAGGAGGAGGGTCTTGGTGCTGTCACTCACCCTCATGTACATGCTGCTAAATGTGCTATGGTGGAGAAACAACTTGCTCTTATAGGAAAACAGTTTATCTCCTGTCATCGGTGGCTGCGCTAACTAGCTTGAGCATTCACAACAGGCTCTGCTGATGGGGAAAAGTGGGCAGCACCATACAAGATTGTGATTGACATCGCTAAGACTAGGCTCTGATTGCTCATTTCTGGGCAGCACTGGGAGTACTGGGAGAAGGTAGAGGAACTTGAATTTTTCACAGATTATTTGTCTCGTACCAAACTGTCACAATATAGTGACAGTTTCAACAAATATGTAAAAAAATATAAGGAACACAATCAAAACTGGAACTGCGAGCAGTTATTTCGGGTTCCTCGCCCAACCAGGAGGTCCCTCCCGTTACCCCGCCCCACCCTGCACACCTTTCCAATCAAAACGAGTTTGTTCATGCAATGAGATTTTTTTTAAAACCACCGTACAACTTCTTGCCGTCTTCCACTTGACTATTTTCGAAATTGCCGTGTTTTCATTAAGCAAATTTATTTTTGTAACTCCAATTTGTGCAATTTGTGTTAATGGAAACACATCTAGCTATGTTTCAATTAAAAAGTAGTTCTGCCTAACAGGCCAAGTCTTTTTAAATTGTTTCTTCAAACTTTCTTTTTCTCTTTCACTTTGTTCTTATTAGAAAAAAAACTGCTGGTTCTTTGTAGCCAATAAATTGATCAGAAACTTTTGCTGCCACACCAGCCTCTTTCTTCTTCCCCTCTTTTTTATCCTTTCATCTTTTCTCTGTAGCTTCGTTGCCTTCTCAGCCGAGACGCCCTCACTCCCCCTCCCTTTGTATTTTCTCAGTGTCTCTTTCTTCTATCTGCCATCAAAAAAACCTCAGATAACGGTTCCTCAGGGACCAAGTCATATTTAAATTAAACTGGTGGTCTAAGTCTCCAGCTGGGCTTTAAAAAAACTGTCTTTTTTGGCTTTGTTAAGAAATAGATGTTGGTGCTTGCATGAAATAAGCTGCATCTTTAAAGTTGGAGCTATTTTTAGTAGCTATTGACTCTCCCACAGGGAACAGAGATGGAAAGTAGGTGAGGCTTTGAACGAGCAGCGTATGATAATGTGGAGTTTGCTCTGCAAGCGAGCCAACTCAGCATTGTGTCCTATCTAAATCACATCTTAATTAACAATCACAGTGTGACTCCAACCGGAGTGGGACAGGAAACCATAAACTGATTGATCCATTTTGTTATTTTTAAGGAAAACTGATTAGTCATTAGTTCCACTCAAAATCTGGATCTTTCCATGTCAACCACCAGAGATCAGACACTGAGGTAAAAAGTAGGTAATTGGATTAAAGATCTGGAAAGTTTGATGTTTACAAATCTTCTACATCTAATCTGACAGAGATTGAGAGATTTTTGTAAAGAAAAGTGGGCAAATATTTCAGTCTATAGATGAGACAAATGCCAAAAGTTGCAGCTATAACTGCAGAAAAACATGGATCCAACAAGTTTTGATCCAGGGAGGCTGAGGACAAACGCCTGACACACTTTGTCAGATTTATAGTTTTGAAAACAGTTTTCAATTTCTCTTCCACTTCACTTTTATGTACTAATTTGTGTTGGTTAAGTCTGGTGCAATAAGCAATAAATCAATTAATCGCACGATCAATTAAAACAAGCTCAATAATTTCCATTTGCATGATGCATCGCTTTTCTCTCTTTTTACCAAAAACTGGATTATAAAACTCAAGTCTGGAGTTTTGGTCTCAACTAGCTCTTTCCATGAAGGACAATTTTATTTACAGAGACTTCATAATTGATTTTATTTGCTGTTTCTGTTGTTTTATTTTGGATGTATTCCATTAAAATACTCCTTAAAGTACATTTTTTCAAAAACGTTACAGTAAATGTAACTACCTAACAAAACTAACCTACAAGTAACTTCCAGGAGCTTGTTTTTAGAAAATAATTCCTTAATATGAACAAAAACAGATTATTTCACTTTTAACATGAAATAAGTGAAATAATCTCGATTTAAAACCAGCCACAAATCTTTTTGAACAGTTACTTATAAATTAGCTTTGTCTCATTTTAACTGTACTAAGATGTTTGCATGAGAAACTAGAGATTTAAATTCCTTTTTAATGTATTTTATGTTGTATAAACAGTCAAATGATGTTGCATGCAGAGCCAGACAGTTTTCAACCTTCCTCTTTGCTTCTGTTTTAATGTCCTGTGCATCAGCTGCTGTCTGTAAACAGCCCTTTATTTGCTGATTCATTATGCAGACACCTCTTCAGACAGCAGACCTCCATCAGTCTGACTGAAGAGGCCAAGAGCGCCGTTGCTCCGTCTCTTTGTGAAATCCACTCATCAAGGTTTCAATTTGGCTCAGCAGCTCTCTCTCTCTATCACAGAAACAACTCCAGACTGATTCGTGCACCAATTAGAAGCTGCTAATCGACATGGAGAACATTTTGTATGTTTTAGAAGTTTTTCAGTCCTGCTGCCTTGCTTTGATGCACATTTGCTCACCTCAGATGACTTGTGAGCTCTGTAGTGAGACTTGGAGCACTGCAGCAGCTGGGCGGCCAGGTTGCAGTCTTTCCTGTACAGGTCCTGTAAGAGACAAAAGATCACTGAAAATACTGAGTCTCAGGAAGTTCTCCAACACTTTCTGACGGAAGCACATTGGCTTAGATGGCCACGGTAACAAGCGTTGAATGATTAGAAATCTACAAAATAACTTCTTCTTCATCAGTGCAAATCAGACCTCCATCATATTTTCTTCTGCAAAAAACTTATGAAGATGTTTGTTCAATAATAAGATAAATATTACCATATTTTAGTCTGATTTCTATAGGAAAGGGATTTGTAAATCTTGTAGAGTTCTGACTTTAATATTCTGAGGAAAAAAAGTCAGAAATTTGAGATTAAAGTCAGAATTCAGACTTTTCTTCAAAATGTTATTTTTTTCTAAATCTGCTTTTCTTACTAGTATTTTCAGCAACAAAAACATAAATACATAACATTAAATAATACAAACTAAATGTTAAACACTGAAAACCAAAGTTTGTATTGAATTTAACGTTGTTACATAAATGATGGTTCGTCTCTCGCTGTTGCTGCCTCAGTTGGGGAAATATAAAACATCAAACTTGTTTACTGCTGTTGTTTCTCAGCTGCTGTCATTTTCAAACTTTTAAACTAATGTGGCACTTTACTCTGCATTTCATCTGGTTTGATAATGGATAAAACAGAAACTGCTGGAATCACCCAGACTTCAACACATTTAGATATTTATTATGTGCATAAAAGCCAACACTAAACGACT